CGCCACCACCTCCCCAACCTCCTCCACCACCCCAGCCACCTCTTCCACCCCCACCACCTCCTCTCCCACCTCCACCACCACCCCAACCACCCCTTCCACCGCCTTCTTGTCTCTTTTGCCATGGGGGCATTTCAGGGGGAGGTGGTTCAATTTCATTAGGCCTTCCTCCCCGGTCAGGCACTCGTCCCATCAGCACATTATTAATGGCACATGCCGTCTTCTCCCGGGTCTTGCCACTACTTGTCCTCATTATTTTGGACAGGTCTTCACGAGCAGCAAGCAAATGTGCTAATGTAATAGTTGTCTTAGGTGACAAAGCATAATGCTTAAGCTGGTAAATTCTTGCTATGTCATCTGTTTTAACCTTTGCTCTGTCAGACCAGCCAAAGGACTGTACTGTCACATCTAAACGTTTCATTAACATTCGCCAGCGGCATTCATATTCAGAGGAAAGAGCATCATTGATTCTTTCCAGTTGTTCCACCTGTTCTGGATTTAAATCCACTTTCAACAGTGGTTTTCCCACATGATTTTTCTGGACTTTTGAGAGAATATCTTTCACCTTTGATTCCACTTGGCCTAGCATAAGTGGAATGTCAGAAGTTGATGACTTGGGTACAGCAAGGGTATCACAGATAGCTTGAACTTCTTGATAAATTTCACTATTTTTATCAAATTGAGAATTTTTACGTTTCTTCTTTTGTAATATCTGTAAAGCTTGAAGTTCTGTACTTAAAAATAACAGGAGTTTCAAACAGTCATCCTTCTTTTGTAAGCGGTCTTTTATATCTCCTGATATAAGTGCAGAATATGGACATGCCATTTCTTTTAAAAAACCACTTATTTCAAGCTGGAAGCTTTCTAGATCATCTCGCCCAGTTGAAGTGATACTTTCTTCCAAGTTGCACAATGATTTTATTTGAGAGCCTAACCAAATACAGAGCTCTAAAAATTCAGGGGAAGACAGTCCACCCTCTGCTGCCTTGATAAGGGCTTGCTCTTCTAAAAGTGGTCCCTTATACCCCAGCGCCTCTAGCGTGTCCAGTACGTCCCCCTCCATCGTAGGTTCGGGAACTGGCTCCGGCCCTCTCATGGTCCCTCGGACCCAATCTGTTCAGCACTCAAAGAAGCCCGCCGGAAACCGATGTCCCTTTTTACGGAATGATCTATCTTAGCAACATGTCCAAAGTATGGGAGATGAAGCTTTGGCATTCTTGGAGCACTCTGCTTGCACATCCTCCAAGATTTATCGATTTGTTATTTTGACAGCCCATGGCATGTTCGCTACACTTCTCCAATACCATAATTCAAAAGTATCAATTCTTCTTCTATCATCCTTATTCATAGTCCAGCTCTCAGAGGCATAGCAAGTGATTGAGAAGACCATGGCCTGAATCAGGCACACCTTAGTCTTTAAACTGATGTCCTTGCTCTTCAGTATTTTGTACAGATTCCTGACAGCAAACTTATCCAGTGTGATACATCTCCTGACTGCTGGTAACAAGGATGTTGACTATTGATCCAAGCAAGATTAAATCATTGACAACTTCAATCCTTTCTCTACCTAACATATTGTCTATTGGCCCACTGATGATAATCTTCATTTTCTTGTTGTTGACTATAGCATATTGAACGCTATAGTCCTTGATCTTCTGTAGCAAGCTTTTCAAGTCTCCTCACTTTGAGCCAACAAGGTTGTGTCATTTGCATAACACATGTTGTTGATGAGTCGTCCTCTGATGCCACATTCTTCTTCAAAGAACCCAGCTTTAGGAATTATTTGTTCAGCCTACAAATTGAAAAGGTATGGAGGGGGGAAAAATATGCCTGGTCCACACCCTTTCTAATTTTAAGCCATACAGTTGCCCCCTTGATCTGCTAGGACAAGGCTTCTTGGTCTAGGTATAGTTTTCATGTCAACACAGTTAAATGCTCTGGATTCTCATTCTTCTCAGTGTTATGTGTTTGCATAGTCTATAAAACACAAATAGACATTCTTCTGATATTCTCTGCCTTTAGCCAGGATACATCCAGCTTCAGCAATGATATCCCCAGGTCCACAGCCTCTTCTAAATCCAGCCTGAACTTCTGGCAGTTCTCTGTCAATGTACTGTTCTAGACGTTTTTGGATGGTAACCAGCAATATTTTGCTTACATATAATGTTAATTATATTGTTTGATAATTTCCACATTCAGTTGAGTCACTTTTCTTGGGGATGGGAACAAATATTAATTTCTGCCAGTCAATTGGGCAGGCAGCTGTCCTCCAAATTTCCTGGCATAGACGAGTGAGCATGTACAAGGCTGCCTCAGTTAACTGAAACATGTCAATTGGTATCCTATTGATTCCTTGGGCTTTATTTTTTTTGCCTATGTCTCAGTGATGCATGTGGCCTCTGGAGCCTGGAAGGAGAGGCAAGTCGGGAACACTAGGGCATCTACTTCCGTAAATAGCTTGCCTCCGGAAACCCTATGAACCTGGAGAAAGGATGAAAGTCACGTAAGTGTTAATGACTATGAGTCACCTATGACTCAACGGCACTTAACAACAGAGAAAGAGACCAGTCAGCCTAGTGGACGGAAAGTGATGCTACCAAGCCAAAGTTGGATGACCCTAATCCACAGCCCTAAGGCCTGTTTTTCATTGGTTTTGGTCAAACATTCTTTTAGGTTGTATAACCCTGGTGTGTCCTCTTGCCGTACAAGGGTAACTCGGGTTGCTGTGAAGCTGAACACTGTGACACTAATGTATCAAATGCGATAATGGTTACCCACGGTGGATGGTATTGGGTGGAGCTCCCGGATTAAAACAAGCTTGGAAGCAGGAGTGGCATCCACTTCCATAAATAACTTGCCTCCAGAAACCCTACAAACCTGGAGAAAGGATGAAAGTCACGCACACAAGTGTCCAGTATTTTCATTCACAGGGTCGCTATGGGTCACCTATGACTCACAACAACCACATGTCTTCAACACAATGTCTTCCTTTATTATCCTTAGCTCTTGTTCATAAGGAATTTCCTGGAACTTTTCAGTGTTGATCAATTCTTTTTGGTACAGTGACTCTCCGTATTCCTTCCATCATCATCTTTTTCTTCTTTTTACTACATTCACTCCCTAAACAACATGCATTTGAAAACTATGAACTTTGAGAAACAATGATAGTTAAGAAAGGCTTCAGGTTTTTTGTTCATACGGTAGCTATGAGTTATGCTTGATTCAACAGCGGTCAACAACAACAGTTTATTTAAAAAAATTGAATACATTGTTTTCACAGCATATTCTTCTAATTTTCCTTACCCCTTCATCCATCAAATTGTATACCTCCAAAGATCATTCAGCATTGTGCCTATAGCATCTCTCTGTGTTGCAACTCAGAGCTTCAATTTATTTTTCAGTTCTTTGACCTTGAGAAAAGCCAAGCAAATTCTTCCCTTTTTATTTTCCAACTCCAGCCCTTTGCATGCTTTATCTCCTCAAGCTGTTTAGCTCCCTTTGTTTTGGCTTCCTGACACTCTAATGCAATTTTCCGTTTCTTCTGACACCCAGTTTGATTTTTTTTCCTTTCTCTGCTGTCTTTGTAATGATCTTTTGCTATTCTCATGGATGATCATTTTTAACAGGTGTTACAAAATGAGATACAGAACCAGATGACGATATCTAGTCCAGGTTGATAAGGTATTAAAGTGTTAATATAGCAGACCACAAACTTTGAAGCACTTGTTGCAGAAGATCAAGGAATGCAGCCTTCAGTATGGATTGTGTCTTAATATCAAGAAAACAAAGATTTTTACCAATGGACCAATAGACAGTGTCATGAGAGTTGGAGAGGAGATTGAAACGGTCAACAGCTTCATTTATGCTTGGATCGTATGAGTAGCTAGAGGAGAGAGCTGTTCTAGCACATTCAGGTTCCTTCAACAAATCCTAACCATGTTTATGTACTTGGCATGCTCTGGAAGCTTCCACATCCCTGCTTTCACCTGAACTGCTAACCTGTGGACCAGGTGCCACATCTACTTTCACCTGATAAAGAAACTGAGATGCTAACGGAGTTTCCTGCAATTAAATATCTATCATGAGCTAGTGTTCCTGTTGTTATGTGCCATTGAGTGGAAACCAACCCATAGCTGACCCTTCAGTGAGTTTCCAGAGGCAGTAAATCACATGGAACAAGACTGCCCACCTTCTTCCCAAGAAGCAGCTGGTGGATTCAAACGGCATAGCTTAGTTACAGGGTAGGGCTCGGATTTCAGGGTAGGTTGTACTATGTACAATCTATCAGTACAACCTACATACCTTTGGAAAACAGTTCTACCTCCACCAGCGTAGACTTGGAAACTTGTGTGGCTGCAGCATGGGAATGTTAAGACAAAGTTGCTTAAAGCAGCCAAAAACAGTCCTTACACCGCAGCAGAAAGAGCACTAGGTCAGCGACCTGACATTCTTCTAGATCCTGTTCTGCTTTTAACACCATTATTATTTTTTTTTTACATTTTATTTTTATTGATTTGTTCTTCTAAAATATTGTCTTTTAAATTTGTAAGAAATCAATTTCATTAGGAAGAAAATGTTTTTAAAACATCAGTCACACATTTTCATTAAAATGCCCTTCTTTTCCGGGCACTGTTGATTTCTTCGCACAGAACCTTCTACTCCATCTCTGGTATGGCGTCAAACCACCTTGGGCCTGATAAGTCTATGCTTTCTACTGATGATTGGACTGGCAATCTTAGGAGTCAAATGCATGTATCACTCTTGCATATATTATTGCATGAATTTTAAAAACAAATTTTCTTCTTTAACTTAAGAGAGTGGAAGTTGTTTAGGAAGTAGGCCTTTGAAGGGTCCATTTGACATGTTGGTTTTGCTGTTATGTGCCATTGAGTCATCTTCGACTCATAGTGACCCTATGCATAACAGCTCTGAACCCTGCTCTATCCTGAGCAAGCCTCAGTGCCTCTGACATACCTACCATCATTATCCCAGTTACTGTGTCAATGCATCTCATCCAGCGTTTTCCTCATTTATGCTGTCTCTCCACCTTTCGAAGCATCAGATCTTTCTCCAAGGTATGGTTCCTCAAGGCAACATGCCTAAATTATGTCAGAGAAAGCTTCAAAATCTGCCTCCAAGAAACACCTTTGTTTTACTCTCTCTAGGGCAGACTTGTTAGTTCTCTTGGAAGTCCATGGTATGTTCAACACTCTTCTCCAGCACCACAAACCATGTTGTTGTTATGTGCCGTGGAGTCATTTGCAACTCATAGCGACCCTATGTACATACCATGGACTTCCAAGAGACACCTTAGTCTCCAGACTGGTATTGCTCTTTAACACCCTGCCAGCAGATTTTCTTAATACACTTTGTCTTTTCATTTCCTGACTGCTGGTGCCAAGAGTGTTAATTGTGGAACCAAGAAAGTTTTTAGCCTTTTTATCTTACTCCTGTAAGGCTACCATTTACCTTCTCAATAATATTTCTCAAAAAAAAATATTTCTCAAAAATAAGGTTTTGGTTTTAATGAGAAAAATATTATTAAATCTTCTAACACTTGATCGTTCTAATGCAAAACCTATACTTGGACCAAGAGGCAGTCGTCAGAACAGAGCAAGGAAACACTGCATGGTTCAAAATTGGAAGGTGTACACCAGGGATGTGTCCTGTCTCCATACCTTTTCAACATGTATGTAGAACAGATTATCTGAGAGGGTGGGCTGTATGAGGAGAAATGTGGCATCAGGATTGGTGGAAGAACTATTAACAATCTACGTTATGCAGATGACACAACCCTGCTTGCTGAAACGGAGGAGGACCTGAAATGCTTGCTGCAGAGGGTCAAGGACTGCAGCCTTCAGTATGGATTGAAGCTCAACATCAAGAAGAAAAAGATTCTCACCACTGGACCAATTGGCAGCATCAGGATGCGTGGTGAAGAGATTGAGATTGTTAACAACTTTAGTCTACTTGGCTCCATGGTCAACACTCTTGGCACCAGAAGCCAGGAAATCAGTAAGTGTATTACGATGGGAAAGTCTGCTGTTAGGGACCTCTCCAGGGTACTAAAGAACAATGGTGTCACTCTGGATACTA